TCGAAGGAATATTGATATGATGTAATTACATTCGTCGATATCAACTCACTTGGAGTTCGAAAATAAAAATACTAGTTAGCAGAAATGTTCGCCAATGTCTACAGCCTCAAGTTCACTGTTCAAAACAACTTCAATGAAGGGCTCAGTGCCTTATAAAAGCGCTACTATGGAGGAAAATGATACATATCTGTGAATCGTATACAATCATCACAAGTTTTTAATTTGAATTGATTGGGTCAGAGAACTCAGATCTATATGAAACAAAATTTCGTGGAAATCCAGTAAAGTGAAGGATTGCGACAATAGTAAGTGGACTTCAGGCAATGTTCCGAAGAGTTGCAGAATCTGATGCGAATAGAATATGTTTGCTTCGATGTTTGCCCACCAAGAGGCAGGACGAGACAAAGTGATTATTCGAGAAAGAGTTGATAATTCAAATTTCGAGTGGGTTCGATGAATCACATTCTTGATGAATATGTGAAGTCTTGAGATATCGAATATCAAAGTAGTTATGGTGTGAATTTGAAATATGTCGCTTTTTTCAACATATTGAGCATTGCAATCTAGATTTAAGCAAGAAATAGTGTGGAATCCTGATTCATGACAACTTCAAGATGGCGGATGGAGACGGGTCATCTTCTCACGCTGTGTCTAAGATTGAATGCCAACATTGTAAAAAGTCAGTTGTTCATGCTGTAAAGTGCAGAAAGTGTAATCTCATCTTCCATCCTCGGTGCTTGATTCAAGCAGCTCAAGCAGAAAGTGCCGTATGCAGACACGAAGTGCAAAACGATGCATCCAAGGATTCATCAGACAGTGAATGTGAAACTGATGAAGACAAATCGTGCCAAGTTATTAGAAAGGTACATACCTGAAAACAAGCTTCTACGTGAACTAGTGAAGGAGTTAGAATCCAAATGAGATATTCTGAACGAAAATTGCAGTTTTTTGAAAAGAAAAATACCAGTCACTGAAAAACAGGTCAGCTCCACAAAAAACCTAGGCAGCTGCGAAAACCCGAAAACTAATCAAGGTCGAACACCTTCAATGAATCGATCAACACCAGTCAATAACAGTGCCCCTGAAGTGGCAGTAACCAAGCGTACCTCCAGCACGGTTGGAATCAAAACTGCAACAACATGTTGATAGTATTAATAATAAGAACAAGAACCATCAAACTATTTTCACCACTGCGGATGTGTGTGCTGCCGTTTCGAATGCACAATCAGCTAACAAATTGAATGAGCTTCAAAACCTTGGGAATGAGGATGAAGAATATTGGAAGAAAGTTGAACCTAGAAGATCAAGGAATAATGATAGACGTTTCGTTGTTGGTCGGAATGATGGAAACACTGGCATCAGTACGGCCGCAAAACTCGTATCTCTACATGTCACAAGGATCCACCCCACAACAAAGCCTCATGACTTGAAGAAAATCTTAATCAACAATTTTCTGGAAGTGTCCTGTGAAAGTCACATGTCCAAACATCCTGAACTGTATGCATCCATGAAGGTGACCATTAGACAAAAGAATTTCACCAAAGCCTTGAAGCGTGATATATGGCCTACTGAAGCACTTGTATCGCGTTTTTTTTGTAATGAAAAGGACGATGCCGCACATATAAGAGGAGGTAGGTCCACAATCACTTCTGAACAAGTCCTAAGAATAGATGATAATAATTTCAAGATTCTTCATGTTAATATACAGTGTCTTGCGAATAAGGTACCTAAATGAATTGAACGTTTTCACTGACATTTCAGATTTCGATGTTATTTGCCTGTCTGAACACTGGCAATCAGCTGACAACCTGTCTACCATAAATATTAGTAATTATTATCTTGCAGCACAATTTTTTCGTGAATCACTTCAACATGGGGGTGTTGCTGTGTATTGTAGGAACAGTTTGAATGCAAAAACTCTGAATCTGAGTTCAACAAAGAATTACATTCTGAGTTCTGCGGCATACTCTTGCAGTCCCTAAACATTGTGATAATAGCCCTCTACAGGTCATGTTCAGGAGATGTAAACCTATTCATCAACAACTTGGATGATCTGGTTTCCAGTTTTTCCTATCTGTATTGATAATATAGTTTCAAACTTAATTGCACGCACTTCTAGAGTTGGTGTCTTAGACCCTTGTTCATCTGACCACAAGAGTCAATTTTTATTTCTTTCAGTGAATGATCATACAGATCTTGATTACACTAATAGTTCTAAAATGAGCATCACAAAAAAAGGACTAGAACAATTCAAAATATCACTCTCTCAAGTTGATTGGGATATCACTATTTCTTCCGATAAAAATTCAAATAACACCTGTGATCACTTCATTAACACTCTACTAGGTATCCCAAGTCTATCTTTCCCCACAAAGAAAAAGCCTAGGAACATAAATGACCATAGAATCAAAATAAACTGGTTCAATGTCAGACTCAAATCCATGAGAAGTAGCTTAGAAGCAGTCAAAATTATATCTGATGCGTCTGGATGCAAGACATCGAAATTTATAAGCAGATGAAAATAATGTATCACCGCGAACTGAATGAACCAAAAAAAACGACTCTATGATGACTACATTATAAACTCCACCAATAAGTCAAAAGCTTGCTGGAACATAATGAATTCGAAACGAAATATTGTGAATACAATTTTAAAAAATTTCCTTCTCCTGTAGAGAACTTTTTTTTAGAACCTGTCTGTCAACATGAAGGCAACATTGCAATCATTGAATTGAGCAATTCTTGTTCTCGAAACATCCACGGTTTCGATAGCTACCTGATTGAATAAATAGTAGATCAAATCATGAAACCATTAACAGATCTGATAAACCTGATTTTCAGCGAAGGTATTTTTCCTGATGCACTAAAAATTTCCAGAGTCATTCAAATTTTCGAAAAGGGTGATAAGTCATTTAATCATCAATTATCGACCAATTAGCATCATTTCTATCATTGGTAAAATTATCGAAATACTTTTGAAAGATCGTCTTTATTCTTATTTTGAAAATAGATTCTATTTCAGTGAATCACAATATGGCTTTCGCAAGAATAAATTTACCACTCAGTCTGCTTTCAGCATAGTAAGTGACATAGTTGAGGGCCTTGATCATGGCAGACATACTTCATTAACATTATGTGACCTGACGAAGGCCTTTGACTGTGTATCACATGAGATACTCATTCAAAAATTAAGTCACTACGGATTGAGAGGGAAAGTTTTAGATCTCATTAGTTCTTACCTCAACAGTACATGGTGTACCTCAGGGTTCCGTTCTTGGACCGTTTCTGTTTCTCGTATATTATTATATAAACGACCTATGTAAGTCTATTGCACCTATGAAATGCATCCTATTTGCGGATGACACGACTCTAATATGCTCCAATAACATACATGCCACCTTAACTCAAACTGCTGGTTACGCAGAAAATATGGCTGAAAGCTGGTTCACCCAAAACAAACTCGAATTGAATGAGAAGAAGACTCAAAACTCAATAGTCTCCTCTAATCCTCTTTATCAAAATGGACAGAAGGTATCTTTCTTGGGTATTATAATCAAATCAAATCAAATCAATTTTATTACTAGATTAAAGTGTAAATGGTGTACAACTAAGACATATTCACATTTTGTCCAGCTATCAAAACTGTACAACTATGGAGTTAGGGGTTCAGCCCTCGGTTGAATTTCTTCCTTCTCAGTTAACCGACTGCAATACGTTAACATACCAGGGCAAATCAATTCTGAAACGAAATTAGTGAATATAGGTGTTCCGCAAGGGTCTATACTGGGGCCAATTTTATTTCTTCTGTACACCAATGATCTTGAGGAGTACCTAACAGAGTCCTATGTAACGATGTATGCTGATGACACTTCTTTGATACTATCGGATAAGGACGAAATCAAAACACATCAAAAAAGTGAACAAGTTTTGAAATCTATAAATGAATGGTGTAGCTTGAATTATTTATATTTGAATGCCTCTAAGACACAAATCGTGAAATTCCACAACTGGCAAAAAACATGTCTACCATTAACCGTCCGCATCAACGATGTATTAATAAATAATACTAATGAAACAAAATTCTTGGGCCTGATCATTGATGAAAATATCAACTGGAAAAATCATTGTGTATTCTTAAGCAAGAGACTGAACTCTTTGTGTTATTTGTTCAGAAATCTCAAACAAGTCTTAGAGAAGCCTCAACTGTTATCCTTGTACCACTCTCAGGTAGCTCAAGAATTAGATATGGTATATGTTTGTGGGGCAACCCAACTTCCACACATGATATTTTCATCTTGCAAAAAAGAATATTGAGAGTAGTTGCGGGCGTTCCTTCAACCAACTCTTGTAGAGAATTGTTTGTTAAATATTATGTTCAAACAATATTTTCTTTATATATTTATGAATTATGCAACTACATACAGTGGCGGATTTGCCATAAGGCCCAGTAGGCCCGGGCCTAGGGCGGCCAGATACGAAGGGCGGCAATCGTGCCAAAAAAACTCAGTGATGATAACAAGAAATAACTCAAATGCAAAGTATCTCAAAATATTTTAGAGGCTCGCGTACCGTACGTATGATTATAATCTTCCTAAATCACTATTTTTGAGTATTAAAGTATAAATACTTTCGTACATCGTGCTTAAAAAATAGTTCGTACGTTTAGTTTAATATTAGTGATCTAGGAAGAATACCTATCCTATTGTTATTACAAAAACAACTCAGCGGTGTCGCGCGAACATTCTAGAAAGCTCTACACGACGCTCGAATGCGTGCGCGCGCCGCCCCGCAGGAAGGATCTAGAAACGGTGCAAGCGCGACGGAAATACGCGCGACGTGAGAGTGAGCAAGACAGCGCGCGGCATGCATACACGCGCGCGTTCTGGAAACTGCCCGACTATTCTAGTATAACGTTGCACCGGTATATATAAGCTACGGGTTTGGACGGTGGGACAGTTCAATTTAGTGAGCGATTGAGTGCGATACTGCTTAAGTTGAATATGGACGGAAAGAAAAGGGTAAGGTTAAGTGGGGCAGAGTATCGCAAGAGAGCTAAAGAAAGAGATGATGAACAAGAAGATACGATTAAAAAAACACGGAAATTAGACGATTTCTTTGGAAAACTTGATGTTCCAAGTAGTAGTGGCGCTCCGTCAACTGATGATTCTGCAGTGTCTTCAAGTGAAAATACTTTGATCGATGTGGCAAGCATATCGAAAGAACAAGCCGAAGATGTCCCTCTAGTACCAGGAGTGGCAGGAGTAGAAGTGCAGCCCAATCCTACGGACCAGGAGCTCTACGAAATCAGCGACGATCCAGCTAAATGGACAATCGACGAGTTCACGCGTGATCACATTTGTAAGAACGGAGCCAATCAAAACATCCAAAATGATTTTCCTAAAAGTGAGCGCATTTACAAAGATAAAGCGCGACAGTTGTCGAGACATTTATTCGAACGTCAGCTTCTGAACGGTGAAAAAGTTCCGCGAAAGTGGCTAATTTATTCCAAAAGTACTGGATGTGTTTTTTGTGGTCCTTGTCTGCTTTTTAATAGCGGGGAGAATCAGTTCGACAAAAAAGAAGGTTTCAATGACTGGAAAAATTCATATCATCGAGTGTCAACTCATGAGAATTCGCCTACTCACAAATTATCTGTTCTGCATATGAAAGAACGAAGCAACGTGCTAGGTCGCATTGACCGCGCATTAACAATGCAATTAGATGAAGAAATAAATTACTGGAGAAACATTCTGAAAAGAGTAGTTGCATGCGTAAAAGCGCTTGCGTCACGTGGTTTGCCTTTCAGAGGACACGAAGAAAAATTTGGATCAATCCACAATGGAAATTATTTGATGTCCTTAGAGCTTATCGCTGAGTTCGATCCGTTCTTAGCCAAACACATTACACGTTATGGAAATCCAGGCTCAGGATTTACGAGTTATCTTTCTTCAACAACATGCGAAGAATTCATTCGACTTATGGGAAACAAAGTTTTGGAAACAATTGTTATGGAAATATCAACCGCAAAATATTTTTCTCTGATTATTGACTCGACACCGGATATATCTCACGTAGACCAGCTCACTTATGTTATCAGATATGTCCTGCCTAATGGGTCACCTGTAGAACGGTTCCTCAAGTTTATTCCAAACACAGGCCACAAATCACAACAAATGGCAGATGCTGTTACCTCAACTTTAACTGAATTGGGAATTGACATTTCAAACTGCCGCGGGCAATCATATGACAATGCAGCTAACATGTCAGGCATATACAACGGCCTGCAAGCTAAAATAATGGAAATTTCACCCCTTGCCGACTATGTTCCCTGTTCAGCACACTCGCTTAATTTAGTAGGTGAATGTGCTGCTGAAAGCAGCCAAGAGGCTTGTTCGTTCTTTTTTCTACTCCAAGAGTTATACAATTTCTTTGCAGCGTCAACTCAGCGTTGGGAACTCCTTCAAACCCATTTCACCGTCAAAAGTCTATCAACGACTCGTTGGTCAGCTCGTGCAGACGCATGCAAAAGTTTACGCGAATCCTGGAATGAAATCCATAAAGCGCTAGTCACCATCGAAAATGACACACAACAGAAGAGAACCGTTATATGCGAAGCAAGAGGTATTCGTTTGAAACTGGAACGTTTTGAAACGGCTCTCATGGCTGTTTTTTGGGGATGTTTACTAGATCGCATTAACGCCACAAGTAAAAAACTTCAGAGTGTGGAAATTGACATTACTATTGTTATAGAACTGTACGAGGCTTTAATACATTTTGTTGGCGAAACAAGAGAGAATTTCGATGAATTCGAAAAAAAAGCGAATAAACTGTCGTTCGTACAAGAATATGAAAAAGATTTTCGACGCAATCGAAAGCGTAAGCTGCTTCCTGGCGAGACTAATACAGGTGAAGAGATGCAACAAAGTGGCCGTGAAAATTTTAGAATACATACTTTTTTGGTAGTAATTGATACATTGTCAGAAGAACTGAAAAGACGCCGGGATGCTTATAAATTACTCTACAATAAATTCCACTTTATTACCAACCTGAAGAATCTAAGCATCTCAGAAGTCGAAGATAAGGCCAAAGCATTGCAAATGATTTATTCTACTGACTTAGAAGACAATTTTACAGAAGAATGTCTTCATTTTCGTTCCCACTGCAGCATAAAAAATGAGGAGCAAAAGAGTGCAGTCAGTTTGTTGAAATGGTTACGAACCGAAGGTCTTCAAACCATTTATCCAAACGTGGATATTGGTCTTCGTATGTGTGTGTGTACACCCGCCAGTAACTGTACAGGAGAAAGATCGTTTTCTTGTTTGCGCAGAGTTAAAAACTATTTACGCACTACAATGACGGAGCAGAGGCTAAACGATCTTGCTTTGCTTAACATAGAAGCTGATTTTTTAAGGAAATTGGATTGCGAAGATTTAATTAATAATTTTGCTGCGCTTAAGTGCAGACGACGAGTTTTGTAACACATTGTAAAACCTTTATTTTATTAAAAAGGAAACCTAAAACCATTTTAAATGTTTTATTCAAATTTCCAATCATCCCTGGCCTCGGAAAATATTATAAACTAGCTTTATAAGCTAGCTTTTAGTTAACAATTTTCTGAATCAAATAAAAGTGGCAATAAAGTAAATTCATGAATTATGTATCTAGTCTCTAATGATCGGTGCTGAGAAAAGGGCGGCACATGGCCTGGGGCCTAGAGCGGCTAGGACTGCAAATCCGCCACTGACTACATATTTAAGAACAAAACTAAATTTCCTCTGAATAAAAACATTCATAAAGCGAATACACGACAGAAAGAAAATTTTCATATTCCACATTATAAATACAGGGTATCACAAAACTCACCTGCATATATGGGTTTGATGATTTACAACAAATTGCCACAAGAAATAAAGAATACTAATGAGAGCAGGAAGTTTATCACAGCCCTTAAAAAATTCCTAATTGAGAATTGCTTTTATTCATTGGATGCATATCTCAAGATGTGATTATCATGATGTATAGTACTAATTAGTATTGTTCTATTATTGACCATTCATATATATATATACATTTATGTTATGTTATGTTTATGTAATTATACTGTGCCCTTGTCCTCTTATACTCTTTTTTGTTTTTGATGTTGTTATTTGTTGTTACTCATGTATACAATACTGTGACGTATCCTATATCATATGAGTGATCAAAAGGACCAATAAAGATTATTATTATTATTATTATTATTATGTCACAAAAATAGGAAAGTGTAGAAATATTACACATACCTAGGGAAATTTTGTTTACACAGACTAACACTCTTAATGATCATTAATTAATGAATACTACACAAGAAAAGTTATTCACAAGTGAAAATTACACAGCCAAAAATTTTACTGAATTATGTTACATCAACGTTTAGAAAAAATTCTTCAATACTGTAGAATGCCTTACCTATTAAGAATTTTTTCAATCTATTCTTGAACTGATTCATTGTACTACAAAGTTTTATCGATTCATCCAATTTGTTGTATAATTTGATGCCTATATAATTTGGATCATTTTGGCCGATTTGGAGTCTTTTGAATGGCAGGTGTAACTTACCTGTTTCTCTTGTACCATAATCATGTACAGGGTATCCCAATTTGGGCACTTTTGCGGGGTATCTGCCCTATCAGTAAAGATAGAGCATTGCGGTTTTCGCGACAGTGTGCTACTTTTTTATGAAATTAATAATGGCGTGAGCAGAATTATGATGATGAATGGAACACCCTGTATATTATTTCATATATACATTGAGCATGAAGTGGGCTTTCCAAAAATATATAATTGTATACAATTATTTTCCATTTAACAAAACATATGTTTGCTCCATAACTAAAAAACAAAAGGTGCTAGCAGAAAAATAACTACGCCACTGGATTCTAAGAGAAAAACTCTATGAAAACAAGTTTTAACTTCTTCGATAAGTTCAAAGATAACTGAGACACGGAGGGTGCCTGAAAAGTGATATTTTCCAATTCCACCCTGTATCTCGACAACCGGAAGAGCTATCACAATTCTGCTTGCGCCATTATCAATCTCATAAAAAAGTAGCACACTGTCGCGAAAACCGCAATGCTCTATCTTTACTGATAAGGGAGATACCCCGCAAAAGTGCCCAAATTGGGATACCCTGTACACAATTGTTCGTTTTGAAAGAGGTTGAGTTCTTTCTGATGAACACCAAAACCTCGTAGATATATAAACATGGCATTGTCAGAATGCCCAAACTGATGAAGTGTTTTTTACAGTGTGAGTTGTATGGTAACCCCAGCATCAATCTGATGGCTTTTTTTTGTAAAATAAAAATCTCTTTAGAACTTGCGCTATGGTCCCAGCAAATTATTTTATAACGAATAACTGATTCAATTACACTGTTATATAGTAGTAATAAAATGTTGTAAGAAACTGTGTCTTTTAATTGCCTCAAAAGAAACAATTGCTTATGCAACTAAGATCCTAGATTTTCAATGTGGGATTTCCACGTCAACTTGTGATCAATTGTTATACCAAAAAAGACTGTTGTTTCAACTTGCTTAAGCGATTTCCCTAACTTCAGTAAAATGCTACTCTCATTTATGTGTTTTTTCTGCACGAAATTCATGAAATGTGTTTTTTTCATTGTTCAAAATTAAGCCATTTTTTAAACTCCAATCGGCTATTTGCATGACTGAAGTCTTTCCCAGTTGTCTCAGCATGTTAGTGTCTTTTGTTCTCACTATAATATTTGTATCATCTGCATATATAATAGTGCTTGTCGATAGATCTGAACAGACAGTAGGAAGATCGTTAATGAATGTAGGGAATAGCAAAGGCCCCAGAATGGATCCCTGTGGAACTCTTCTATTGACAGTTTCACTTTCAGATGCTATGTTATTTATATGCACACTTTGATGATCGTTTAAATTGGTCCTGTCATGTAGAATATGTGCTTCCTAGGCTATCAAAAGTTCTATTTGTAGTGAGACAACTCAAACCAATTACTAATATTAATATACTGAAAGTAGCTTATTTCTCCTTATTCCATTCGGTTATATCCTATGGCATCCTTCTCTGGGGTAACTCTAGCAATGCCATCACGGTTTTTCGATCGCAGAAAAAAGCGATAAGAATAATGGCAAATCTTGGATACAGAGATCATTGTCAACCATATTTTATTCAACTTAGTATTATGCCTCTTCCTACCCTATATATATTCACTGTTCTGCTGGAAATATACAGTACCTTGAACAAGTTTCACAAACACTCCGACATACACAATTACAACACTAGATCTGCAGATTTGCTAAATCTTCAACGACACCGACTAGCTGTCAGCCAACAGAATTCTTTGAATCTCAATTTATACAATGTTCTTGATAGTTCAGTTCAATAATTGGAATTGGAAAAATTCAAGATAATTGTCAGAAAGTTTCTTGTTGAAAACTGTTTCAGCCGTATAGCCAATTATCTCACAGTATGAACTCTATTTATTTAGCAGATGTAGCTCACTGTCGGTCACTGTTAAATATTTAATTTTGTTTATATATATATATATATTTATTTTTTATCTGTTTAACTTTTGATTATCAACTATTCTCGTAATCCATTTACTGTTTACTTTTAAGATTTATGTGAAACATCCATAAAAAATTTTAATGCAATTTTATTACATTTGAGTGTCGATATTTTAACTTGTTGTAAAAATAAACCCTACTGTACTTCTCTGACCTGCCATAAACTCATCTGTATAATGTAACATGGTTAAATAAACTACTCTACTCTCTACTCTCTACTCTACTCTACTCTACTCTATAATTAAATATTAATTTTTCCACCATCGAGAAAAAATTAAGTCATTTGAGACTCTGCCAAGAACAAAAATGGATAAGAAACTTGTTCTGGAGTCTTGTTTTTATGTTGAGCTGGTACTCAAAAATGCATTCTGGTGTTCATGAAAAATTCCACAAATGATATAGGATAGGGAACCCGAAGAAAAACCATCATTCGGTCCAATCTGCTTGATAATATTCAAAACATAATTTGAATGTCCTGGGCGCATAGGTTTGTTGAATAATGTATAGAACCACAAACTGCAAGCTCTTTGTATTAACTAGGATGACAAGAACTAGAGGAAATAATCGAATCGGTGTGTGTGAGTTTTTGATGAGAAGGTATATGGAGAAATCAAAATAGGTGTTATTGTTCATATTGATAATAGGGTATACGCGTGTGAAAATTTTACACTGGAATATATTTTTGTTCCATTACTCATATGTATAGATGTCGGATTATACATCCGAGAAACATTATTAATCACCGAATATTTAATAATTTCTGATTGAAAATCATAATATTTGCAACTTTCCGACCAACAGCCGAACTGCAGCGATGATTTCCGACTGGATGTGGCTGTTTGTCATGTCAAACATTCATGTCCGAAAGATTGAAAATAATATAAGAAGAGAAAGTGAGGTTATGATTATCTGAGCTTGTAGTTTCTATAATCTATCTCAATTATATAATATCAATATTCTGAATAATAAGCAAATATCTACAATAAGAATGATCAAACAGGACTTCTTTTTGCATGTTGTTTCAAATATATATTACCACCTATCAATTTATATCTCATATAGTTTTCCATATCTTCTTCAAACTGAACACGAAATCACATATTATATTATTCTCCTAATAACATGAGGAACATAATCATTGATATATAATGGGTTTCACTAGGACATACTTGAACGTATACTCACTTCGAAATTGTCTTCACAAACAAATCCTCTGGTTTCCTCGAATAAATCATTTCTATTTATGGCTTGCAACCATAATTTTTTCTTCTCTTCATTTTCATCACTCGATCCCACTGGCAATGAAAGGAATATTTTTCCTGGTGATTCTTTTGTTGATGAAAGGCATTGCGGCACTAAACAGTATTTGGTATGAACATTATCATTTTCCATTTTCAAATTTCAAATTTCTGGCGTTTAAAACTGTTTTCTTCTACCTCTTCTTCTTCTTCTTTTTTTTTCAATCTGAATCTTGTCATTCTGTCGCGCTAGTCTATGGCTGTTCGGCCTAATACTATGACGTCATAATATTAGTGATGGCCACTAACCCGTTTTCCTGTGACTTCATATTTAGCCTCATTTAAATGAAATTTTTTAGAGTCACAAGCAAATTTGAGATTAATGAATGATATCCAATATTATTAGGAAGAAGGAATATAATTTCGATTAAACAAAAAAATCATGCGTATTCCTTATTGAGCCAAAGAAGGAGAGATAATGGTTAACTGATACTCCTATAGTGAAATCAAAAGTGAAGACAGATGAATTTCGAGAATGTTGAGGACTGATAATCATCAACATATACAGGGTGTTTCATAATTGAATGTCAATATTCGAGGAGGCGATTCTTGGGCCCATACTAAGAAGAAAGTTTCATATGAACGTATGACCTAAACGTCCTAACTTTTGAGATACAGGGTGGTAAAGTTCTCAAAAATTAATATAGCCTACTACAATGGAAAGTTATAATTCCAAAATACCAAATATGATTACGAAGTTCATAAACTATGAATTGTATTTCTGAAATTTTATCTGAATAATAAAATATAATTCTCTGCATTGTGATATTGTCATACTAAAGATATTGCTATAATCATGTAGCGAACAGCTTTTTATTTTTTAAGCGAAAACCGTGCATCAGATTGAAAAAATTGTGATGATCAAACTTGCTTGGAAATAATTGTTAATTTCAGGAATGATTTCAATTTCGAGATCAATCAGTGGCGTACCATCAATGTCTGCCAAAATAGGTATGTGAAATTCCATTCGAACGCCACTGGTGGCAACCAAAAAAAATGTGATACACTAACTGATGCCTCTTGATACATAGTACATGTATGCCAGATTTCATTAGAATATCTGAAGTGGTATTACAGATATTAATAAAAAACTCTCAATTTTTGAGAACTTTACCACCCTGTATCTCAAAAGTTAAGACGTTTAGGTCATACGTTTATATGAAACTTTCTCCTCAGAATGGGCCCAAAGTTTGCCTCCCCAAATATTGACATTCAATTATGGAACACCCTGTATAACGGTACCTAGGAACGCACGATGTTCTTTGAACATTATAGGGATTCCCTTTCGTGCGCTTCAAGCGATAAAAAAAAAGAAGAGAATTGGTTATTTTGTTCAACAAGCTACGTATGTGAAGATATGAACTGAAAGAAAGTTTTGATTGTATATTACATATCACATATCATATGATCACACTTCCTAATCAGAAAATTATAGATTCAGACGGAGTTTTTGTGAATGATACATTTCATAATATTGTATCATTGACACAAAAAAAATTATTGATTAAAAATATGTTCATAGTTAATTATTCAGATTGTTTTGATGACCTGCCTTCCTAGAATAGTAGGTGGAGGCGTGTTGAATGAGATATGTATGAACATACAGAACAAAGAAATGGAGATCGAATTTACTAATGATAGTGCCAAACTGACAGCTGTCAAAGCTTCACAAGTAAATCGTGATGTCACATTGAAGTTGACCTGGTTTTCCTGGTTGGTTTCGAAAAAAACAGACAAATATATGCTTGGGAATTTTACTTCCACACGTTTTTTTCATGAACGGAACCTGGCATGATATTTTCATAGGTGTAGTTCACATGTTTTTTGTGATTCGTGCCCCAATTGTGCATGTTCCTTTGTGTCCAAGTTCTGGTGATATTAAATGCAAGAAGAGTGCACGAATCACATGAAATACGAGGCGGTTCATCTAGGAATGAATTCGACTGAAGCGCTCAACACTCCCTGGTAGGTGCCTGTCTACAAAATAGGTGGCAAATTCAAATTCATCCAACAATAACATTTTAATTATTCAACATATCCGAATAGAATACGACTATATTCATCTCAAACGAGCTGAATCCTATTCGTATTTTCAACTGAGGAAAAAAACAGAATGAAGTAAAAACACATTGACGAATAATAAAATTCAAGTTCCTCAACAAATTTGAATTGAATGAAACTATTCGTTCTAAACGAACGAACTTATTCGACTCCATATTTTTTGAGGAAGGGAAATATAAACATAGACAGGCACCAGAAAGCACTTTCTCCCATTAACCACAATTGTCTCAGCTATATCACAAGAGAGATCAGTCCAGGAACTTCGTTTCATCACACCGTTCTGAAACATATGCAACTTGCATACAGACTATAACCAGTATTGCTACAAAAAATTTTTCATCGCACATATTATCAACGACATTAGATTGACTCATCCCAGGCGTCTTCACACGAAGAAATAACTTCCATAAAAAATTTTGAATTCGATAGCAAGAAGCGAATTTTCGAAAAACAACAAGTAACTACGAAAAACTTCATTTGAGAGCTGAACAATTGGAGAAGAGCTGGTAAATAACAAATGCAACTAGTCTTATTGAATGAATGTGCTGAGTCGGATGCATCACTGATGCTGGTGGAGAGAGTACACGTGGCTTCTTACAACTTCTGCGCCCTCAGAGTGAAATCTGTGGGTTGATAACAGATTTTTTTGCTGGGATGCTGTCTGACTGGTCGGCAACACCCTGTATATACTGCGTCCTGTATTGGATGAATCTTCGATAGTGACCTAAAAGCACACGTTGTTCCGGGAACGTTCAATTCATGCTCTATACAAGTCGGAATGTCCCGGCTTTTCAGGGTATATGCACGGAACGTTCCACTGAGGATGTTCCTGAAATACTTACGCATTATCATTCCAGGAACATATTATCTTTACACAGATTGTATGAAGTGCCATTTCAAAATGTATCAACATTTATCGATACAATTGGTGTTGATGTATCTGAAAAATTGTAAAAATGTAATATTCGGGTCGATTCTGTTCGGATCTTGTTATAACATTGCTAAGATAATAATATTGTTATGATCATAACATATGACCATATTGCTATGAAGTTCTGTATTCTATTTGCAGAATAACTGCAAGACTGGCTATAAGTTCAAGTGATAGCAATATTTTTGAAAAATTGAGAATTTTTGAGCTGACAACACTGTTTTCACCTCATTGTTTAAGTGTTAGGTATCGATTTTGTTATTATTTCATGAAAAAGAAGAGTTTATGATTATCTAACCTCTCAATAAAGTCAGTCCACTGACATTTTACAACATTATATTTTTCAAATCGAGAGATTTTGTATTTGCCGAATCTGGTCGATTATGTATTTTGTTGCAAATCTCAATCTCCTTTGTTGAATGAATGTCGTACATATCATTATCATTAGAGAAATTAACTTATACTGAATTTATACTGATGGAAATGAAATGAAAAGCACTATTTTGAGTTTGTGTCAACAGACTTCTAGTTTTTTTCTTCAGTTACTGAGATTTTTTTATCCTTGTCTAAATTGAATCTTTCGAGATATCGCGCCGAACGCCTCTAAGTCTCACCTACCAATCTAAAAGCGTCAATTCTTATGTCAAAGAATGGGTGAATATAAGGTGGTTCGAAAATCAGAATTCTGAACCACCCCAGCAAACATTGAATGGCGGTAGAAAGTCGGGCCCATGCCGAGAACGGCGAGCAAATGTAAATGTCGGCATGCTACGAATGGCCTGCCGTATAATTTGAAAAGAAGAAAGTGCCAATATTACTGATTTCTGTCAACGTTGGCATCCCTCGCACGCGTGAGTTTCTATTTTGATCATTTCGCAGTGGCAACAATCTCTCAACAGAGATTTCATCTAGTGCTGTGTTGTTTGGCTTTCTAGTGGACTTACAGGAAGTACAGCCTGGAAAATAGTGAAGGATATTTCAAAACCTAGCAGAGTACGGAAAGAGAGTGGTATGAATATGTTGATATATACAATGAAGATTGAATCCGTCGGAGAGTTTATCAGATGTATCAAGAGCAGAAAGTTCCACATTATTATCGCTCCCAGCGGAGCTTTCGGGAATAATTTTGACAGAAGCTGCTCTACTACAACCTTGTGGCGTACTCAACGTTGTTCGGAGTTTTGATTTGGGAAAATATACGGAAGGCAAGTTATAATGGACTCACACAGCCTGCAAGAACATAGAATATGATATCTGGAAAAATAAATAGCGTTAGATCGGATAATCGAACCATAATTTACCTAGATGAGACATGGTATGACAACCATAATACACAAAGTAGAGAATAGACTGATGAATTGAAATGATGTCACACTAAAGCTCCGTCCAATATAGGTAGAAGAATAACAATTCTACCTGCTGGGTCAGAAGACGGCTAAGTACCAAACTGTTTATTTTGTGCAGCCAAAAACATTTCAAATTCCAGCTGAGATTACCACTGCAATACAATTGCTGAAGTTCATGAGAACTGGTTTCGAATTGAATTATCACCGAATGAACCACCAGAGAGCAGTATTGTGATGGATAATGCATGTTAACATATTCACCAGTTAAATAAAGTGCAGAGTTCCACCAGCAGAAAGTAGGAAATAAAAAACGTTTTGTCTGAACGTGACATATATTTTCATGGGTGTTATACTGTTATGCAATGAAGAGAGGTTTTGAAATGTTACAATATCAAAAACATTATACGATTGTGATACAGGGTAATAATAAAACAAGAACTTAGTATCGGGAAACAAAATAGCGCAATCGTGTGGAATACCAAGAAAAAAATCACTGCATAGTTAACGGATAACGAGTTAGAGTAGATAGCCAATTCAGTGGCGTGAGCAATTTAAAATAGGAGTTCTGAGAAGGGGGTCATTGGTCAGGAGATTGCCAGAATCGGTAGAATCCCCCTACTGTTATCGATCACTTGAGTGATAACACAAACATGCAATGTGTTTCATGAAGCTAATACTCAATTACTTTCAGATTAAATGAATCAAAATTCCATTCATTTCTCAGTGTTTTCTTTATTATTTGATATATTAGGGAGAAAATAATTACATAACGGAAGCTCATTGTTACTCATGAACTTGAAGAGAATATTTGAATAGCATGTCAAACAGTTTAGAATACAAGATATGGTGATCTGAGACGGCCCAGTAGAACTCCTTTCACATTTTCGTAATTTCTTGGATTAGAAGATACACTGGATGTTTCGTCTATATCAAAATATTCTATATTGTTTGCGTCAACTGTAGGCCATTTGATATTCTGCAGGGTGGTAACATTTCCAGGTGTTGGATTTCTACGAATAAGAAGAAATGCGTATGTTAATGATATCTTGATGACAAATATTGGCTAGGTACTTGACAGTAAACACTAGAAGTGAAACAATCGAGAATTCGAATCGATACTTTTCTCGAAGTATATCTACTATAGAGAGTGTTTCAAGTGAAATCTGGCCCTGTTGATATTTCAATAGGACCACTGCAAAATAATCTGAAATGTTCGTAACGGCATCCGTATTTTATGTCTATATAATGTAATGTTAGTATGAATTGTTTTGGTAGCTAGCACATTGCATAAATTCGTTTATATATCTCTGACCGTCAGAGAGGGCGCAAGTTACACGTTAGCCACTTTGAAACATAACTTTTTTGAGGTAAGATTTCCTTGTCCGAATGTAATAAGAACATGAACCATCGAATTTTGCACCAGAAAAGTACTTCCAGTATATTTCGCTTTCGAAATGATTCCATCTGAAGATGATGGAAAAATAACTGTTCGATGCTAGGATGAAGTATGAATTGAAAAAAAAAACTATAAAATACAGCAGGAATATAATGATCACGACCGAGGGGTAAATCACGTGGGAAGTTTAGTGTACAGACACAAGGAAGTTCGAGGAAGTTTGGGGAAGTTCGAGGAAGTTTGGGGAAGTTCGAGGAAGTTCGAGGAAGTTTGGGAAGTTCGAGGAAGTTTGGGGAAGTTCGAGGAAGTTTGGGAAGTTCGAGGAAGTTTCGGGAAGTTCGAGGAAGTTTGGGAAGTTCGAGGAAGTTCGGGGAAGTTCGAGGAGGTTTGGGAAGTTCGGAGAAGTTTGGGGAATTTCGAGGAAGTTTGGAATATTCGAGGTAGTTTGGGAAGTTCGGTAGAGTTTGAAACATTTCGTGGTGTTTAGGTAGTTTTGAGAACAGAAAGCAATGATTAGTCGGATATTCATTTCTCGATTTTTTCATTTCAGCGAATAATAGAGATGCTGTTAGATAACTCAATAATACCTACCTACCTGAAAATTCGTGGTACTCAAAAATTGCATTGCATAGGTAATTAGATCGGTAATTAGTTAGATGGTTGATTTCTGTTGGTGGATTATTCAAAGTTGTAAGTCTAATTTCATTTTGTATTGAATTACAATGCAGATATTCATGACATTCAGTTTCAAGTCCCTTCCAGTAAAGTACTTTTGAGTTAAGGTATACTCACCTATACCTGCCTATACATATACGTACAGTCAGATGCAATGAACATGTCGCAGTAGGGCGGTGATGGCACCTATCTAGTCACTTCTGCAATAAGAGCGCTAACACCATCCAACCGCGATATATTCTTTGCATCTAACTGAACCTACCTATACCTACCTACCATAGGGAAAGGAAAAAAAGTTGAATCAATCAATACTAATTTGCTCACCTGGTTTGAGAAGTTTGAATAGTTTCGACAAGTTTAGGAAGTTCGAGGAAGTTTGGGAAGTTCGAGGAAGTTTGGGAAGTTCGAGGAAGTTTGGGAAGTTCGAGGAAGTTTGGGAAGTTAGAGGAAGTTTTGGGAAGTTCGAGGAAGTTTGGGGAAGTTCGAGGAAGTTTGGGGAAGTTCGAGGAAGTTTGGGAAGTTTGGGGAAGTTCGAGGAAGTTTGGGGAAGTTCGAGGAAGTTTGGGAAGTTTGGGAAGTTCGAGGAAGTTTTGGGAAGTTCGAGGAAGTTTGGGGAAGTTCGAGGAAGTTTTGGGAAGTTCGAGGAAGTTTGGGAAGTTCGAGGAAGTTTTGGGAAGTTAGAGGAAGTTTTGGGAAGTTCGAGGAAGTTTGGGTGATTTGGGGAAGTTTGGGAAGTTCGGCGGAGTCTGAAACATTTCGTGATGTTCAGGTAGTTTTGGAGGTTCGAGGATGTTTGGGAAGTTTCCGAAAGACCGAGCAAGCTGTAGGATGTCTGTGAACGTTTGGGCGGAGACGGTCGGGAAAAATCTTTGGCTAGATAATGCAAGAAACTTATTATCTCAGGATATATAGAGCTGTGGTGAAAAAAGCCTAGGGGAGATTCCTCTCAACAAATTATGAAATCAAGTTCATATGAAAGTGGGTCCGAAAATGCTTCGTTATCAAGATACAGGGTAGGGTGTCCAAGTTAAAAGAATTATGGGTTTTTCGTTATTGCTTGAGGCTCTTGTCAAGGCTTTTGTCGACACAACTCTGAAACACCCTATACAGAAATAATATTAAACATAATTTCAAAGAGTTCATTATTATTTCGGAACTTTCAACAGAAGCTGTCCTCGGATAAGTCAATAGTACCTATACATACCTAAAAATTCGTGGTACAGAAAACCTGCATTGCATATGTAATAACTAGTTTGATAGTTGATTTCTGTCGGTAGATTAATACTCATGACATTCAGTTTCAAATTCCTTCCAGTAAAGTACTTTCAAGTTTAGGTAACCACCTATACATATACGTAGGTACATATTCAACAGTGTGTTGTACTCGGTTGAAATTATTCGAAAAATCATATAAACATATACTTTCAAACGCTTCGTTTTCGAGATATATATAGGGTGTTTAAGAGTCTGAATATTGTTTTTTGATGAAAAGTTCGAAACGGTTTGAGATAAATCCACAAAGTTACCCAAGATACTAAACTTTTCACGCTCTATGAGATGAAATGAAGATTATGTATAATGAATGTAATAAAAGAACACCACACTGTTGAATTCTTTGTATAACAAACCGGACCACCCTATATATATATCTACCTACCATAAGAAAAGGAACAAATTTTGAATCTATCAATACTAAATTGCTTATAAGTACTTGGTTTGTGACGTTTGAAACGTTTCGGGAAGTTTAGGAAGTTCGAGGTAGTTTGGGAAGTTCGAGGAAGTTTGGGAAGTTCGGGGAAGTTTGAGGAAGTTCGAGGAAGTTTGGGAAGTTCGAGGAAGTTTGGGAAGTTTGAGGAAGTTCGGGGAAGTTTGAGGAAGTTCGGGGAAGTTTGAGGAAGTTCGAGGAAGTTTGAGGAAGTTCGAGGAAGTTTGGGGAAGTTCGAGGAAGTTCGAGGAAGTTTGGGAAGTTTTGACCCATGGGAAGTTTGGTGTACAATTTTTTTCGCCGTGATTTACCCCTCGATCACGACCCTCTGTCACCATATTCACTAATCTTTAAATTATGTTCGATTACATATCTATCTGGACCCCAACTGAAGATCAGAATTTATTTGAGAATCTAAAACAATGACAGTGATCTGATGCGGATTTCATCAATTGTACAGAGTATAACAAGCAAAAATTATCGAATTTGACCATAGAATAAACCAGCCAGTTTGGTCGTATTGAAGAAACTTGTTTGAGCAACAAATATAATTCCACGTCAATACCTGCAAGACAGAATTGAACATCACTTCAAGTAGCCTCTAGCTGATCCTCAACCGTTCAGTAGATAAATTATGCAATCTTCAGCAGAAAACTTGCAGCTAGGGTCTAGATGGTTCAATATTCAGTAAATTTTTCATACTTTTGGAAGTCACAAAGAGTGTCGTTTTATGCAAAGACCAGTTATACACATTTATTGGAATCAATTCACTGAATATGTATAAATCGATTTGATTAGAGAACAAAATTCTGTGATTCTTCTGGAATAATCAAAGATGTGTTATTTTCCAAATAAGAAGAAATGGTTCATCCATCAGAAATTCAAAGAATGAAAGTGTTATATTCCAGTAATTCAATTTATCATTCATTATCTCTGACCAGCTCATGAAATCGTGATTATTTCCAATTCCTATGAAAATTCACTGTTCATTGAGAAAACTCATGACCTTCAACAGAACTAGATTGAAATTATCTTACGTTAATGTGTGAGAAATCAGTATCTGCAGAAAAATTTCAGTTCATAATCTGTGATATTGAAAATTATGAATAAATACTCTTGCATGCATGAAAGCTCCTCTTGTCAGTCGAATGCATCGATTACGGGTATTTCAAGCAATGTCGAAGAAAATGTGGCGAACTTTCGAAGAAAATATGTGAACAGGAACTATACCTACCACAACACCTTGGAGTGTGACATTGAATAACATGTCAGAAATGCAAGAATTGATGTATTTGATACATGATATTATATGATGATTATGTATTTGAATTTGGAGAATACAACAATTTTCAAGTTCTTGTGAGGACCTGATGCTCATTTCTGAACTTCACATACTTTATTCTACTAAGCAGGTTTCTCATACAATATCTTTGCCAGATCACATGAACTATCAAATCTGTGAACACCCTATATGGTTATTCAAATTCTCAACTAGGATGGAGAATGAATGTGATATATTTCTTTTTGTGATTATGTTATTTTGAATCGCGTGAAATGGTCATGAGGAAGTGAATACTTGCTGATCTATCGAAATCTCGAATATAAAAAAGACTTCGATATTGGATTAGAGAAGATTCAATTGAGTGTTAGTTATGAATAATTTGATCCACGAGGAGTGTAAATACATGATGAATGGTTGTATCAGAGTTAGTTCGTAGGATACCCCATCATCAGAAAGAGGAGAAATTGGAATAATCTTTGTCAGATCTCTACCTGGAATGTTGAGTTCATAGATGTGTTTACTCCAAAATCATCAACATAACCTTTTTATAATAAGTTCAATTCATGAGATGTCATCAAAAACATATGAATCACAAAATTCTCATGGAAAGAAACATGATGTCTTTGATGGAAACAATATTCTGTGAAAATTCACTCCAGGTGCAGATGAATTTTGCTGGGTATTGGCCCAATCTCCGATATAAAGTCAATATGGATTCAAATTGTAATTTGTTAATTGTGTTCATGAAACTGAACGAATAGATGAATATTCTGCCAAAGTTTGTGTAACTGAGATATAAGAAAGTAATTATGCGAATCTTCAAGTTATCAGCTAGAGGAGAAGCAGGTTATATTTGGAAAATATAGAAAATTATCAATCTCAATATATTATGTTTACACGTATCTCCTTGAACAAAATATATATCTTCATGAAAGAGGTAGGATTCCTCAGATCCCAGAGTTGCTTACTGCACTGCCAGTATCTTGGTAGGTGACTCAAGACAGAATTCGTGCCACACAGAATAATGTGTTTTGGGAAGCTTCAGGCAACCATTGAAACGTGCGTGCATTCAGATAAAAAACAGTGAATAAACATCTGTTGGGATATGTCAGATCCCACCTGGGTGACGCCAAATTAACGCGAAATATATACTTCGCAAATTCCACTCAGGACGGATAGTTATTGTGTATTTTAATTATCCTCTCGTAAAACTCAGAATTCAAATTGTTTCACCTCTATTGTTTATGTGACGTACACCATTCAGATGGCGGCATAGGTAGAAATGTCAAGTTGATGAATAACAATGTTTTCTGAATGAAATCAATCGAACTCACTTGTATTTGATGAAATTCCACCACAGCGAAAGCATCAGCTCCCGAATAGTTTTGTCGACTTCGATTCCGTGAAATTGGTCCCAAAGGTAATCTAATTCGGCACCATGTGCAATACCTACCAAGATAATTCATGAAAATACAATCGATAATGGATAAGTATATGATTCGTTATGTGATATACTTTCATCACGTATCACGTTCATTGACCATCTTCAATATCATTGAATCATCAGAATGAAACTCTCAGTTCATGGAAATCATGAAAATTATCATGAACAATCATTGTTTAATAACGCCGAGGTGCGAAGCACTTTCGTTTCAACCAGGAGAAACAAACTTTCGTATTTCAAATGAAACACCCTGTTCTTCGTCGAATCATTGAGATCTCTGTATTATCACGAATCATTGAATATGTATTGCAGTGATTTTCAAATGTTATCAGATCATTACGATCTCAATGAAAAATTTCAAATTAGCACTAGTCTCTTCAGAAAAATTTTTTTCAAAACTGCTTGAGATTGAATCTTCAAGATATCTACTGAGGACCTATATCCTACAGAAGTGTGAAAGAGGTACACTTGATGTTCTTCGAACATTATATTATGTCGAACAAAAAATTCGAAGTCATCAAGGTTCTTTACATCAAAACGTTATGAAGATTTGATTGGATGATCAATGAAAATGTATCAACATAGTAGTAGGACCGGCTGAACATTCGCAAGCGTTATAAACCAGGATGTAATCTTTCAGAATTTTCAGATGAATTTGTATTGCAGTGATTTCCAAATGTTATCAGATCATTACAATTTCAACCAAAAATTTTAAATTAGCACTAGTTTCTTCAGAAAATTTTTATTTTTCGAAATGTCGAACAGAAAATTCGAAGGCATCAAGGTCTTTCACATGGAAACGTTATGGGGATATGATTGCATGATCAATAAAAATTTATCAACATAGTAGTATGCCCGGCCGAACATTCGCAAGCGTTATAAACCAGGATGTATTCCTTCAGAATTTTCAGATGGAACTCAAAAGCTCACTACACTGTCCACCACTATTCACACCAATTTTCAATCGAGCTGACTACCTCAGCATATTCAGGAGAAGATGAAACCTGAATATTCTGCTTATATCCAAGGGACCCGACCATGAGAGACACTGACTGCGCAGGCACGGCACCGAACATAAATAGAGACTAGAAGAACCACTCTAATCTTCGCCCGGAAATTTCCCTTCCTGCCCCGTCACTCGACGCTCTCGCGTATATCGATATTCTTCACGTTAGGCTTCTGGGTAACGTAATGTACTTGTATACCGGATGAAATCCAATAGAACACCTCACTTCTTCATTTAGCATTAGCTCATTGTCATCATTTTGACTAATAAGAATGAGTTTGTGTTGTGTTGAAGACTGTAACATTGAACCAGGTCATGGGATTTATTCAAAAATATTCCATTTGTACATTCATGTAAACATTTTCCATTGAAATATCTGTTATCCCTGTTTATGAGATTCCGTATATATAAACTATGAGATCCGCTATCCATGATATCGAGGATAAAATAGTTGAGAAGCTAAATATAGAATTTAATATCTTGCAGAATTTGTAAGAACATTCGATGGAACTGTTTTTTCTTCAGAATCTGAATAATATGAGGAATGAATTTTGTTAATACACGTTCCATTTTGTCTCTGTCATTACAAAAAGCTCAAACTCGAGGCTGTTACAATGAACCAAGGCATGAGATTTATTCAAAAATATTCCATTTCCACATCCGTGAACAGTTATCGATTTAATATCTGTTATCCTTGTATACAAGACTCCGTATTCATTATACCATTAAATTCGCTAACCGTGATATTGAGAATGAAAAAGTCGAGAAGTCATATATTGAATTGGATATCTTTCAGAATTTGTGAGAACATTCATTGAAAGTTTCTTTTCGTTCAAAATCTGAATTATATCAGGAAAATATTTTGTTTATGAACATTTTGTTATTACGGAAACTCGTTTTTTGGTGAAAAAATCCGTCATGTTACTTTTACTTGAATTACACCCATTTATTTTGTAAGTAGGTACTGTGATTGCCTCCAGCAAACCATTTGATATTCTATCAAAACAAAATATGAAATTGCATGATAATGACTCGGATAATGATAAGCATTTTGGCTTCTCTTTATTCAAATATTAATAGTATGCTCCACTTCATTCCACATTGACTTATCTACCTCATTGTGAAAAGCTGCATTGAAATAATATGAAAAATCATGAGTGCCAATGATAAAGCCAAAATAAATAACACTGTCTTCTTTCAGTCGCTCTCACACAAGGTCCACGCAATAAAGTGTCAATTTTGGTCCACGCCCGATTGAGTTGGAATTCCACTCTACTTGACTGTGTTTAATGGTTATTCATGAGCCGATTCCATCAAATTTGTTATAAACAAGCTCATTGATAGGAAAACTTCATGAAATATCTAGTTTGAGTTGAGAATTCACTCAAAAATGTCGATCGGTAAATTCACTCACAACCACATATGCATTCACCCAAAAGAATTTTCTACAGTGTATGCTAATATTCATAATATTGAAAAAATTATGTATTATTCAGAATACATTTCCGTTGAACTTCGTAGTAAAGCATCTTATGCAATATGAGCATGGCATTGCAAGTGACCCTTGTTGAGACTCGAAACCAACTACAGGCGGCCGCCGCTTTTGTGACTATAGTCTAATTTGCTAACGGAGGAGCCGCCGAAATTAAACCAAACGACAGCAGTGATGCCAAGTGGTGCACGTTTGTTATTGTTGATGATTGTAAGTGGTACTTTTATTCTCGATGTCCTTCATGTTATGACCTCTGAATTGGCCTCCTTCCTCCTTTCTATGCAGAAGGGATATTTCTTTTGGTCGCGCCTGATGCGTGATTTGATTTCGATACGAATTCGACTGAAGCGCTCTCGTTTTCATTCTCGCGTATGCAGTGAATTCATAAACCCAAACGGTCTGGTCGTTAGCGCTGTCGACTCTCAGTCTGACAGAAATGAGAAGAAGGTTTTTTTTTATATATTCATTTTTCTTCCATAAAAACAACACTCACCACTGATAGCGACTGAACAACTCTCCTACCCCTTGGGTACCCTCAGCGAAATTACCTATATGAAGGACAACACCCCAGGAGATAGGCCTATGAGACGAACACCTCGCATATGCACTCACATTCCTTGGCCGACACCTGCCATCTCTGCTACACGCGGAGGACTCTAGTCATAATTTACCAAATTATACAAATACTTATTTATACAATTTGTGTGTCATGTTGCGTTATACATGATTATAGAATAGAATTAACAGCTTGAATACATACTCAGTCTGAAGGTCCCTGGTTTGAGTCGCTGTGAACCTGAATTTTTTTCCACAACCTCTTTTTTTCACCGATGCTTTTTCACTTCCTCCCAGAGAAAATATTTGAAGTCAAATAGGTTAGTGCGTTTAGGATGAACAGTCTCATTTTTTAATTTCCAATTCGTTTTTTTAAGTAATTCTTCCGAAAAACATACTTTCTAGAAAGAAAGTTATTTTAGGCAGACAGATCAGGTTAGGTGTTTACGAAAGGTAGTCTCCTTATTAATGGTTATGCAGAAAATATATTCTCCTTCCTCATATTCGATTTCAGTGCTGTTTTTATTCAGGAAATTTCATGTAGACTTGATCCCTTGAATTATTGACTCATTTGGCATCACTGCCGTCTTTTGGTGTACGTTCGGGTAATTTGGGCGGCTCCTTCGTTAGCAAGTAAGACTCTAGTTCTATTCTCTGTTTATGTTCAGTGGTCACGGTCTGTTATATTTCTCAATTCTTGGAACGCACGGACAAAAATTATGATTAGCTTCACATATTAATCCTATTCCTGAATCACTCGATTATGCAAAGCGTAGGTCCTTCATCTTTTCTAGTAAGTCTATCACTGTTTTCAACTATGTGCAGGATTGAAAACAAAAATCTCATATACATTATAAATATGCATAAGTACAAAAAGATTGATAACATTATTTGTGAAAAAAATATACAATTCGTGATCTCGATAAATCCAACAGAAGACAGTTCTAGGTTATTTTTCTGACTATATATGCCACGACAAACATCAAATTACAGCAATTGAACGACATAATGAGAATTCAAAAATGAGAATCTCCTGAAATTGAGAATTTTATTCCACTTTCAGATGAGAATATAAATGAAGCAAGTGTTTTGGAATCCAGTATCAATATTCCGAGGTCTCATTTTTCAGGTCCAAATAATATTTCATTTTTCGAAGAATATTTGTTCACAAACCTTTCGTTACCGATCCACAGAGCGTTGAAGTTTTGGGTTTCTTTATTCAACAGTACTATTTATGATAAGTCAAGGTTTGTAAGGCTTGTTTTTTGCAGGTTATGTTTGGAAACTTCTTATTGAGATGGTGATTATTAGAAATCTCTATATGATCTAGCAGATTGAAAAATCGTGTTTCTTGTTGATGAGCTCGTTGATAACGATGGCAGATGCTCAAGAATTACATAGAATGAAAACGTTAATCAACAAACCAAAGAACATATTTCTTATTACAAAATTTATCAGCGGCGCACCTTCAGAAAGTTTTTACTGCAAGAAATTCGACCCTTCAAAAATATCTTCTTGTCAATTCTTACAATAACTTGAAATATTGTATGATGCAGAACCTGAGACGACACCAATGTTTCGACAAAAATCTTGAAATTCAACCAAGCATTCGCAGAAATATTATGTTTATAGTGGAGAAGGAAATTTTGAAGTCATCTCCACATTTCTCGTTGATGTTCCTAATTTTTCATGGAGATATTTCTCGGACTTATGAAAGTTCATCTTCAGTCCAATTTCACTCACATAGAGGTGCCTATTATCACAATATCCTTGTTGGAATCTGAGAATGAAGGAGTATTCACGAATATAAAGGGCTTCGTGACTGAGAACGGGTACCTATTTCAATCAAAAGTCAAGTCCCAGGAGAGATGCTTAACGAGTCACCGCGAAGCAAAGCTCACAAGAAACCTCTGTTTCAAAAGGGAGCACCACTATTGGATCAAATATCAATA